ACCTACATAAAATCATGACCGATCTTTTGGAAGCAACTTGCTTTATCAATTGAAACATATATACACATGTTTTAGCATGTACATGCACTTCTTACTTTTAAGTAGGACAAGCACATAGTCAAGAGTGTCCCCCCCCCCTCTATCGTCCTCGATTCAACTTGTTTTTGCCGTTGTTGAAATGATCTTTTGCTGTTCCTTTCGTAAGGAATCATTATACCACCACTGCGAAGGAGGGGGGGGGGGTATACTAATTTACTTTTGTGTGTCAGTTCGTCCATCTGGCTGGCTGCCTGTGTGTCTGTACGTAGCAAATGTTTGGTTGCAGTTTTCTCAGCAACTATTCATTGAAGATGCTTGAAATTTTAGCACAGTATTTGCTAAGGCATGCCATATGCATGGTGGGTAACATTTGAGTTTAAATCTGATATAAACTTCCTGTTTATCTGTGAGTCTGTCCGTACCATACATAAAAAATTTCGCTGAAGTTATTCCAGCAGAGATAAGTGTCTTTTCATATACATTAAGAATGACAATCAAAATTCAGTATGTAATTTAAAGATTTTGTGATTTTGTTCTTTCTCATTAAGGCACCAAGGTTAAAATAAGTATTAGGGAAAGTACAATTAGGTGGAAAGCATATAATAATACAAAAAAAGGTCCAAAACACTGTCCGTAGGGGCTATGCCCCTGGGAGTGAACTCCCTATAAGCTTTTAAAATTAAATCAACAGAGAACCTCATTTTGATTCAAAGTGAGCTAGTGTAATATTATCTTAAGGACCCTCTCTACACCAGTACAAAATGTTTTTTGGACATTGAGAAAAATATATTCTATAAAGGTGTTAATATTGAGCTTATTTATATGATTTTTACTATATGGTTTGTGGCATTTACCCCCTGGAAAAATAATCAAACACAATACAGTATAAGTGTTAGAAAGAAAGATAGAAATCACTGCTGTATACTTTCATAGAGAAAACACTAGTATGTAAATTACATGTTCATTTAATTTATCTTGGCTCATTAAAATGTTGAGAATACTTGAATTCATTACAAATTGTGTAATATACTGTGAATTTCTAATTTTTAGAAGTAAGATCTAAGGGCAGATCACTCTTACTGCAAAAAATACCATAGAATCAGAATCCTTTAGTGTGCAGTGTAGAGAGTGTTAAATTCTTAAGTATACATCTATATATGAAAGGAAAAATATAATTACAGTATCTGAAATAGTTTTCTGAGCGGTTAAAGTGAGGGGGGCAATAAAATGTTACCACCCCTCCTCCAATATGTTTAAAAAAGTGGGGCATGATTTATTTGTACATGTATTAATATTTTTTTAATAACTTATTTTTATCTAAAGCTATTTGGAAAGCTTCTTAAAAATATTTTCCAGAAAATAAAGTATGTGATAAATGGAATACTGAGATGTCCTCATAAAATATGACTAAATCAAATAAAATATTTTTTCTCTCAGAGAGAAAAAGATTTGGGCACATATATCTATGATTTCAACAACGACCATTTTAATATCCCCAATTTCTGCATGTACGTAAAAGGAACTCCTCTCCACTGAAAATTGCCATATTTCCCTATAAACCTTAATGTATTCCATCATTACATATTGTTTCAGTAAAGTAAGTATGACAGAGTTTGCTATGACAAAAAATCTTAATAATTAAATAATTTATTTTTTCTTTGTTGCAATAAAATAATCTGACATTAAAGAGATAAATTTCTAAGTTCTTTCAATTTTTTGCAATAACTTCAAGTTCCCAAATGAAAGGGCACATTCACCCACGATCATCGATCCCCATTCAAAAAAAATTTGCATCAACAAATTTCAGCCCTGCAGAAATTGAAAAATTGCAGTTTTGTTACGTGTTTAGTTAAGTGATGTGATTTCATAAGGTCAACATGTAAGATGAAAAAAAATAATTAATTTTAAAAAATGATAAATAAATGAAATTAATTCTTTCAAAAAATGATGAAATACCTTGCATGGCAAAAGAGCCCCCTGTACAGTGATCAAAATCATCTAGAATCGTATCAAAAGTATACCAAAATTTGAAGAAAGTGAAAATGTAACTTGTCTATTATCCAATATCTCGGTGGAAAATGAATCATATAGCATACTCTGGGTAGAATATCTTCACTTAAAGTAAAGTTAGACATTATTTTAGTGTTTCTTTAAAATTTTTTAAGTTAAAAATTGACATTAAATATTATAAAGAGAATATCAACATAACGCCCTCTTCGCAATTTTCTGAGTGCCCGGGGCTGTTACCACGGTAATAGGAATTATAAGGTATAATTTTTATCAACAGATGGTTTATATAATTTTCATGAACAACTGATTTTAATAACATTGATAATTTGCCTAAACTATAAATTATTGATATAATTAGATTCATGTCATTATTTATGCTTTGGGTAATTAAATGTTATTTTTACAATAAATAGTCATACCATATTATTAATAAACTCATACAAAATATGTGCAACTTTCAATGTACAAGGTAAATATTTCATTGTACTTGCCTAGTGATGTTCTTATTGTCATCATGCATGTATATTACTTCATCACAACCTTATTATCCCATCCTTAGCTTTGAAGTCCATTTAACTGACGTTACTTTGTACTTTTTTTCAATGATGCAGCACTTGTCACATAGGCAGGAATGTAATAGGATGCAATCCATTTTTAAGTTTATCACATTCACATCTTATAGGCCTACACAAACATGTATATCTCTCAGACACAGTAAAGCCTGAACAATCATTTAACATTTTAACTATTGGTAATGTTAAATATTTCACAAATTGGATTAAAACCCCTGAAAATATCCAAAACAGACAGTATTTACTCCTCAAAGTCGTTTTCTGCTGTTTACTTTCACTTTCATTTTTCATTGATTGAGGCAAAAGATTTCCGAAAGGGGAAATAACTCTTGACTAAAATGTGTGTAAATTTAGAGCTTTTTACAAACTTTACCATCAATTTATTTTTTTAAAGTAAATAATACCTCTCCAGTTTTTTCATATGTTCTTCATTAATGTATAAGGTGAAATTCAGAGCATCAGAATATTCAACCAGTGCCTGCGTTTTTTGTGTACATTGTTATGTTCAACCCCCCTTTTTTAAAGCAATTTTCTATGTTATTTTGCATCTAACGGCATGTCCAAAAATTTTTTTTCGACTTTTTTGTTTAGAAAATACAAATAACAAATTATTTCAATGGAAAAAATTCATAATAATCACCTTTACTAATTAAATGGACATTAATGAGAAGAAATATCATTTTAGGTATTTTCCACCCTTGTGCAAAAACAGGTAACCTGGTTGCCATGGAAACAAGACCAGTTGGTCACTTTCAATAATATTTTTGTAAATCGGGCTTATAATGTAGTTATTTCACCAAGTTTCATCAAAATCTGTGAAAATCAATTTCCAGCCCATTTTGATGCTTACAGAGAATGACTCTTAATACCTAAGATGCTTAAATAAAGCTATAAAATGTCAAAAATAGGTCACCATGGCCTACTTTTTGGTCGTCACTCTCCAAAAACCCAAGATGCATCAACTCACAAAGTTTGATGATTCTTAGCCAATAAATACCAAAGATACTTAAATAAAGCCATAAAATGTCAAAAGTAGGTCACCATGACCTACATTTTAGTGAACATTTTTCAAAGTCCCAAGATGCATCTGCTGACCAAGTTTGATGATCGTAGGTCTGAAGGTAATCAAAATATGCCTTTTAAACAATATGAAAACATATGCCTGCAAAATTCAAAAAGTAGGTCACAGTGACCTACTTTTTCATAAATATGTTTTAAGGTCCCATACAATGTCAAAAGTAGGCCACCGTGACCTAATTTTTGGTCGTCACTCTCCGAAAATTCAAGATGCATCAACTCACAAAGTTTGATGATTCTTAGCCAATAAATACCAAAGATACTTAAATAAAGCCATAAAATGTCAAAAGTAGGTCACTGTGACCTACATTTTAGTCACCATTTTTCAAAGTCCCAAGATGCATCTGCTGACCAGGTTTGATGATCGTAGGTCTGAAGGTAATCAAAATATGCCTTTTAAACAATATGAAAACATATGCCTGCAAAATTCCAACTCAAGATGCATTAATAGACAAAGATTGAAGATTCTAAGCCAATAAGTATGTGAGATATTCAAAAGTAAGTCACCTTGACCTACTTTTTCATCTACATTCTTGGAAAAACCAAAATGCATCAACTGACAAAGTTTGATTATTCCAAGCCAAAAAGTACTGGAGATACTTAATTATAGCCATAAAATGTGAAAAGTAGGTCACTGTGACCTAATTTTTAGTAGGCGATTTTCGAAAGCCCAAAATACATCAACTGACAAAGTTTGATGATTCTCAGCCAATATGTATCTGAGATATTCAAAAGTAGGTCACCATGACCTACTTTTTGGTTGACATTCTCTGAAAACCCAAGATGCATCAACTGACAAAGTTTGATGATTCTAAGCCAATAAGTACCAGAGATCCTTAAATAAAGCCATAAAATGTCAAAAGTAGGTCACCGTGACCTACTTTTTGGTCGTCACTCTCCGAAAACCCAAGATGCATCAACTCACAAAGTTTGATGATTCTAAGCTTATTAATACCTAAGATGCTTAAATAAAGCTATAAAATGTCAAAAATAGGTCACCATGACCTACTTTTTGGTCGTCACTCTCCGAAAACCCAAGATGCATCAACTCACAAAGTTTGATGATTCTAAGCTTATAAATACCTAAGATACTTGAATAAAGCTATAAAATGTCGAAAGTAGGTCATCGTGACCTATTTTTTGGTCGTCACTCTCCAAAAACCCAAGATGCATCGACTCACAAAGTTTGATGATTCTTAGCCAATAAATACCAAAGATACTTAAATAAAGCCATAATATGTCAAAAGTAGGTCACCATGACCTACATTTTAGTGAACATTTTTCAAAGTCCCAAGATGCATCTGCTGACCAAGTTTGATGATCGTAGGTCTGAAGGTAATCAAAATATGCCTTTTAAACAATATGAAAACATATGCCTGCAAAATTCAAAAAGTAGGTCACAGTGACCTACTTTTTCATAAATATGTTTTAAGGTCCCAAGCAATGTCAAAAGTAGGTCACCGTGACCTACTTTTTGGTCGTCACTCTCCGAAAACCCAAGATGCATCAACTCACAAAGTTTGATGATTCTTAGCCAATAAATACCAAAAATACTTAAATATATGCCTGCAAAATTCAAAAAGTAGGTCACAGTGATCTACTTTGTCACAAATATGTTTTAAGGTCCCAAGATGCAGCAATTTACAAGATTTGATGATTCTAACCCTCTCAGTGTCTGCAATGATGGGATTAAATGTTTTAAAAAGGATAAGTCATAAAGTTCAAAAAGTAGGTCAAGGTGACCTACTTTTAAGTTGACGTTGTTCAAGGACCCAAGATGCATCAACTAACAAAGTTTGATGATCATAGGCCTTAAAGTGTCCAAAATATGCCTTCAAATCAATTTGAAAACAAATGCCCGCAAAATTAAACAAGAGGCCCAAGGGCCTTGAATCGCTCTTCTGATAAATTGTACAATCTATCACTTCTATTTGAAGCCTCTAACCCTGAGTATCCTAAGACCCAAGTTGCATCAACTGACAAAGTTTGATGATTCTTAGCCAATTAGGACTGAAAATATTTTTTATAATAAAGCTATAAAAAACCATAAGTACATTACAGTGACCTATATTAAGATTGAAGTTTTCTGAAGATTCAAGATGCATTAATAAACAAAGATTGAAGATTCTAAGCCAATAAGTATTTGAGATTTTTAAAAGTAGGTCACTGTGACCTACTTTTTTGTCTACATTCTATGAAAACCTAAGATACATCAACTAACAAAGTTTGATGATTCTAAGCCAATAAGTCCTAGAGATTGTCGACCAAAAAGTAGGTCACCATGACCTACTTTTTGGTCGACAATCTCTAAAAACCAAAGATGCATCAACAAACAAAGTTAAACCAGTTAGTACCGTAGATACTTAAAGAAAGCCTGAAATGTCCAAAAATTAGGTCACCGTGACCTACTTTTTGGACATCATTCTCCCAAAACCCAAAGATGCCTCAACTTACAAAGTTTGATGATTCTAAGCCAATAAGTACCGTAGATACTTAAATAAAGCCATAAAATGTTTAAAGTAGGTCACCATGACCTACTTTTTGGTCGTCACTCTCCGAAAACCTAAGACGCATCAACTCACAAAGTTTGATGATTCTAAGCCAATAAATACCTAAGATACTTAAATAAAGCCATAAAATGTCGAAAGTAGGTCACAGTGACCTACTTTTTGGACATCATTCTCGGAAAACCCAAGATTCATCAACTTATAAAGTTTGATGATTCTAAGCCAATAAGTACTGTAGATACTTAAATAAAGCCATAAAATGTCAAAAATAGGTCACCTTGACCTACTTTTTGGTCGTCACTCTCCGAAAACCCAAGACGCATCAACTCACAAAGTTTGATGATTCTAAGCCAATAAATACCTAAGATACTTAAATAAAGCCATAAAATGTCGAAAGTAGGTCACAGTGACCTACTTTTTGGACATCATTCTCGGAAAACCCAAGATTCATCAACTTATAAAGTTTGATGATTCTAAGCCAATAAGTACCGTAGATACTTAAATAAAGCCATAAAATGTCAAAAGTACGTCACCATGACCTACTTTTTGGTCGTCACTCTCCGAAAACCCAAGACGCATCAACTCACAAAGTTTGATGATTCTAAGCCAATAAATACCAAAGATACTAAAATATAGCCATAAAATGTTGAAACTAGGTCACCGTGACCTTTATTTTGGTCGACATTTTTCAAAGTCACAAGATGCATCTGCTGACCAAGTTTGATGATCCTAGGTTTTGAAGGTAATCAAAATATGCCTTTTAAACAATTCATAAACAAATGCCTGCAAAATTCAAAAAGTAGGTCACAGTGACCTACTTTTTCATAATTATGTTTTAAGGTCCCAAGATGCATCAATTTACAAGATTTGATGATTCTAAACCTCTCAGTGTCTGAAATAATTGGGATTAAATTTTTTAAAAAGAATTAGTCATAAAATTCAAAAAGTAGGTCATGGTGACCTACTTTTAAGCTGACGTTGTTTAAGGACCCAAGATGCATCAATTGACAAAGTTTGATGATCATAGGCCTTAAAGTGCCCGAAATATGCCTTCAAATCAATTTGAAAACAAATGCTTACAAAATTTAAAAAGTAGGTCACCATGACCTACTTTTTCATAAATATGTTTTAAAATCCCAAGATGCATCAATTTACAAGATTTGATGATTCTAAACCTCTCAGTGTCTGAAATAATTGGATTAAATGTTTTAAAAAGAATTAGTCATAAAATTCAAAAAGTAGGTCAAGGTGACCTACTTTTAAGCTGACGTTGTTCAAGGACCCAAGATGCATCAACTGACAAAGTTTGATGATCATAGGCCTTAAAGTGCCTGAAATATGCCTTGAAATCAATTTGAAAACAAATGCTTACAAAATTTAAAAAGTAGGTCACCGGGACCTACTTTTGAGTTAACATGATGTGATGTCCTGAGATGCATCAACTTACAAGATTTGATGATCCTAGTCATAATAGTAAGCAAAATATAAACATTTTTATTATTTGTAAATTTAGGTCAACTTTGAAGTGACCTTGAGACCACGCCCTTTGCCCCAGGGTCATGCCTTGAACAATTTTTAATCTTCAACATATCCTGATCCTTGTATGTAAGTTTGGTGAAAATCTGCCTGGTGGTTCTGGAGAAGAAGATTTTTTAGCAACCAGTACTTTTGGTTTTGTTTTCTTGATTATCTCCCCTTGTTTAAGGGTCTTAACCCTTATTTTAGTATAAAGGGTAGCCCTTGGGCCAAGGATACCCTGTGACAAATTTGACACTGATTGGCCAAGGGGTTCTTGAGTTATGGCCCATTTTCTAAAAAGTTAACGCACACCGCACACCGCACGACGCACACCGCACAAATGGCCATAGCATTAGCTCTTTGAGCCTTAGGCTCAGAAGAGCTAAAAAGTAGGTCACTGTGACCTACTTTTGATTTAACATGATGTGAAGTCTTAAGATGCATCAACTTACAAGATTTGATGATCCTAGTCCTTATACAGTCAAACTTGTCTTAGCGGCCACCCAAAATCAACGGCCACTCGCGGTCAGCGGCCACTTTCAGTTCCCCCCGACGATTTTTCCTATATATTTTAACTGGAATAAACGGCCACCTGTGTAACGCGGCCAGCGGCCACTCAAATCCCCACCAAGAGTCTTATTGACATTTGAGTAATTATATTCTCGATAGTCAATTAAACCTATTAAAGCAATTAAACAAATTACGTTTAGATACGCTGAAATCTGTTTGTGTTTATGAAAAAAAAAATTATCCTGTTAGACCAATTTGTTATTATTTTTCAAGATCGCGGATTGAAAAATTAAAAGAATTTTATTGCAGTTGATACTTTCCTCTAGCTGAAGAAATTCACACCTTTAAGATTTTGATTCCATGTAGAAGCCCTAATTGCTACTCTTGTGAAAACAAAGTGCTTCATATGACATGATTATCTCGTGAATTTCACTATCAGGAGACCATCGATAGGGATTAGTTACGCTCTACTGCACGTGACACCTGTGTTGTGGAATGATTTTCAAGTGCGTAAATACACCATACACCTCTCTGGTCAACTGGATAATTTTATTTGTGTGTCAGTGTATGTTACATAGAAATTCTGACAGCTTTATAAACAATAAAATTTACCAGACTTTAACATGTTTAAAAACTTCAGCAAGTAAATTAATTGCCGATTAATTAGGGGAGGGGGGGGGTTACACTGCTGATCAGTTAATACACTGCTGACTACACTGTTCACTACATATGAAAAGTAAAATTTTTATTGACATTTTCTTACTTAAATTTCTATGCTTTATTTTATTTAACATTAAACTGTATGTTTGTGTATTTTTTTCTTTATAAAAAAGGATAATAGTCAGGCACTGTATGTATTTCTTCAAATGATAATTAAAATAGTTTATTTAATATTTCAATGTTACAAAAGCACACTGATGAATGCAAAATGTTTAAAAATATGTAAGAATAGAAACATACAAAAAAACCATAAAAATTTCGAATTATTTAATATTCTTTTGAAATGAGCATTAATTGTTATATATACATAAAAAGCTTTTGTGAAATTGACCTGTTTTATTATTTGATTAATTAATTTATCTGTAGTGCTTAACGTTGTTTATTTATGGACCAAATGTCTTTTTCTAAGGGCAAACTGGAATAAGAGGCCACCTGTCTTAAGTGGCCAGTTTCCAAACTTCCCAAAGGTGGCCTCTTAAAACAAGTTTGACTGTAGTAAGCAAAATATAAACGTTTTTATCAATTGTAAATTTAGGTCAACTTTGAAGTGACCTTGAGACCACGCCCTTTGCCCCAGGGTCATGCCTTGAACAATTTTTAATCTTCAACATATTCTGATCCTTGTGTGTAAGTTTGGTGAAAATCTGCCTGGTGGTTCTGGAGAAGAAGATTTTTTAGCAACCAGTACTTTTGGTTCTGTTTTCCTGATTATCTCCTCTTGTTTAAGGGTCTTAACCCTTATTTTAGTATAAATGGTAGCCCTTGGGCCAAGGATACCCTGTGACAAATTTGACACTGATTGGCCAAGGCGTTCTTGAGTTATGGCCCATTTTCTAAAAAGTTAACGCACACCGCACAAATGGCCATAGCATTAGCTCTTTGAGTCTTTGGCTCAGAAGAGCTAATAAATGTGTTTGATAATCCCATGTTAAAAAAAATAAATATTTTTTCCGTAATATTGATTATTAAATTGTATTGTCTGTTCATTAACCTTTATATATTTTTTCCGTAATATGTGATTATTAACCAGTTGTGAAAATTTGTCTGTTCATTAACCTTTATATATACCATATTATTATACCACATGCTCTATATTAATTCCTTTTTTAACAAACATTGCTAGGTATTATGATTGTTGCGCACCACATGCTCGTCTCGATTTTACCGGAAACAAAAGAGACAACTAAAACCATTATGATTTAATTGAATGTATTTCAGTGTATTTAATTTAAAAAGTCACCGTTTTTATTTGAACCCAATCGAACAGAAAAAATGGTCAAAGATTTAAAACATGGGTATAATTTGAAGACCTGTAATTATTAAGTCATTATCAGAAATTATATGTCTTGTAAAATATACTAATAATAGAGTTACCAGTTAGGTCTAACTGATTAATTGATTAATTTGATGGCTTGACGACGTTGTTATAATTTATACAAGTTAATTAAGATAATTTTACAGCCACCTTGGACTGACCTTGGACTGAGCTGAATGGCAATTACATAGTATTACTCTTATACATAGGATGTTGAAAATTTACGGAAGCTCTTTTTTTAACTTCTGTGAAATTTTATGCATTTAAATTTTACAGATTTATAAAACTCATAAAAATTAGTAAAAATTAGCAGCACGTAAAAAATACCCGTTATACGGTATGATTAAATTCCATTTCAATTGAAGAGCAACTCGATAGATTTGATCATGCCATATCCCGATGTAACTTTAAATATGTTTATTTCTTATATTTTACTTTTTTATTCTTAATACAAAGAAATGAATGTACTATTTACACCTTCCTATGGACCGGCTGGGATAGGATACTATATTTACAAATTTAAATTATGCAAAATAGGCTGAAAACACCTTGTGTAGCAGGGACCAAGCCAGAAGTTGTCTGTTGGTTCTTTATACAATTCCTCACAAATTCGACCCTCAGTTTGGTAATCTGTTTTTCCTCATGACTAGTCAAAAGTTGTCTGCAGTTAAGAGGCACATTTTATGCAATATGATGTCTGTTTGACACCATTGCAGTTAAGAGGCACTTTTATGCAGCATGGTGTATGTTTGACACCTAATTGTTGACTGTTCAGAAGTTGTCTGCAGTCAACAAGGTCAATTTTCATGATAATAATTTCCCATTTTGCTGTCTGGTTAGTATTTGACTACAGACAAGTGATTTGTATACTTTTTAAACCTATGTAAGAAAATATGTTTTCACTCAGTCATATTGTATGTTTCTTTTTCTTGTTTACAATGACTATTGTATTGTCTTTTGAACTGAGTACATGAAATTTTTTAAGATGTTTAAATGCTTCTGTATGAATCATCCTATTAAGGAACTTTGTGTCTCCTGCAAAGACACCTTTGGGTGGGTGGATCCGATCTCTGATTGCATTGTGGCTGTTTGTTATTTTGGTATACAATCACATTTCAGTTTAATGTAACGTAGAAGTGGCTCTTTAAAGAGTTGAATTCTGTGTTAGATTTTGACTGTGTAGAGGAAAAGTAATTGCTAGTTAAAACAATGTATGTCGCTATCAACCAAATATTGTTTTAATCAGTAAATCATGATGCAAAAACTTCCACAACTTGCAGACCTCAATGTAAACAACTTCACTACACGCAGTGTAGCGAATCCCAATCCCGATCAAGGAAAGAATTGATAACGGTTATAGAGATTCATACTATTCAAAATATAAGTATAATAAAAGAAGAGGCCCATGGGCCACATTACTCACCAGAGTAACTTTGGTGATGCAGTTCTTTACCAGATTTCCCCTATTCTTATATCTCTTGTCCCCCCCCCCCACCACCATCTTGATTTTGATAATTTAGAATCTACACTACCCCAGGATGCTTCCGCCTAAGTTTCAGCTTTCCTGGCCCACTGGTTCTTGAGAAGAAAATTTTTCCTATATACATGTATTTCTATTTGAAAATTAAATTCCCTATTGTGGCCCCGCCTTACCCCCGGGGGTCATGACTTTTACAATTTAGATTCTACACTACCCCAGGATGCTTCCATATAAGTTTCAGCTTTTTTGGCCCACTGGTTCTTCAGAAGAAGATTTAAAAAAAATTTTCGTATAGATTTCTATGTAAAACTTGGATTCCCTATTGTGGCCCCGCCCTACCCCCCGGGGTCATGATTTTTATAATTTAGATTCTACACTACCCCAGCATGCTTCCACATTAGTTTCAGCTTTCCTGGCCCACTGGTTCTTGAGAAGAAGATTTTTAAAAAATTTCCCTACATATTTCTGTGTAAAATTTGGATTCCCTATTGTGGCCCTGCCCTACCCCCGGGGGGGGGGGGGGGGGAGGGGGGGTCATGATTTTTACAATTTAGATTCTACACTACCCCATGATGCTTCCACATAAGTTTCAGCTTCTCTGACCCACTGGTTCTTGAGAAGAATATTTTTTAATGACCCCACCCTATTTTTGTCTTTTCTTGATTATCTCCCCTTGGAAAGGGAGTTGGCCCTTAATTTTTATAATTTAAACTCCCCATCACCCAAGGATGCTTTGTACCAAGTTTGGTTAAAATTGGCCCAGTGGTTCTTGAGAAGTTGAAAATGTGAAAAGTTTACAGACGGACGGACGGACCGACAGACGGACGGACAGCTAGATAGACAGATGGACGGACTGCGGACAAAATGTGATCAGAAAAGCTCACTTGAGCCTTCGGCTCAGGTGAGCTAACAATTGATTACCCATTTTGAGTTCAACATGGTGAAATAAGGACCCTCGACCTAGCCCACTTGATGACCTGCCCTGACCTCGGCGGCCTCGGTCAGATCAGGTCACCTCATGGGCCAGGTCGAGGGTCCTTATTTCACCATGCTGACCTCAGAAGGGGTAATTAATTGTATATTGTTTTATGGACTTTGAGATTGAATGCTGTTCATTATCTCCATATCCTTCTTTACTAGATTTCCCCCTTGTTATTCCTATTGTGACCCCCAACTTACCCCCAGGGGTCAATTTGGACAGCTAAAAACATATACCACCCCAGGATGCTTTCAAGTAAGTCAGTTTTCTTGCCTCATTGTTCTTGAGAAGAAGATTTTCCCTTTTGTGGCCCAATCCTACCCTTGGGGGTCAAGATTTGAACAAATTAGAATGTACATAACCCCAAAATGCTTCCATGTAAGATTCATTTCACTGGCCCAGTAGTTCTTAAGAATTTTTTAAAAAGATTTTTCCCATATTTCAATGTAAAACTTGGAATCCCTATTCTGGCCCTGCACTACCCCGCAGTTTGAAAAATTCTAAATCTACACTACCCCATAAAAGTTTCAGCTTTTCTGGACCAGTGGTTCTTGAGAAGATTTTTTAATGATCTCACCCTATTTTTGTCTTTTGTTGATTATGTCCCCTTGGAAGAGGAATTGGCCCTTCATTTTAACAATTTAAACTCCCCTTCACACAGTGATGCTTTGTACCAAGTCTGGTTAAAATTGGACTAGTGGTTAAAATTGGACCAGTGGTTCTTGAGAAGTTGAAAATGTGAAAAGTTTACAGACAGATGAACAGCTAGACAGACAGATGGACAACAGACAATGGGGTAATCAGAAAAGCTCAGTTGAGCTTTCAGCTCATGTGAGCTAAAAAAAAGTGTGAAGGACTAAAAGGTCATAACCGGGCTTTAACCCCTTACATGGCATATATGCACTTCTATGCATCTGACTTGTAAAACGAGTATAGTTAAAAAACATTCATAACTTCTTTAATACTGGAAATATCAGAATAAATCTTGCATCGCTGGAAAGAGAAAATAATTAAATAAAAATATAATACAGAAAATTTTTTATTGGTTGTACCAGTATTTTGCTAGCTTGAGTTAAACTTTGCGCACTATTTGAACAATTTTGCAATCATTGAAATCAATGCTGGGGTAACACGTTATATGTAAAAATGCTAAATTCTGGTGATTACCTCCCAACCCACCCCATCCCTCCAAATACTTAAAATTGGTTTGTAAAAAAAAATGTACAACATGCTCATAATTTTCAACACAACAGTAAAATATTTTTTCATATATTTAACTCCGCAAAAAAAAAAAAAAAAAAAAAAAAAAAAAAAAAAGAATGAAACTTATTCTTTAATAAATGGAAATTCCAGCATGATTATGGTATATTTCGTTGCCATGGGCAACTGAAATAATGATATTTTAATAATCATTTTCAGAAACTACGCAATACCTGCTTTTAGAATATTTATAAATTGGTATATACAAAAATTACAAGAAATGCCCCAAAAATGCATTGAAATCTTAATATCAATTTGACTAGAAATGCTGAAAATCTTTGCAATGGAAGGGGTTAACTAGATATCATTGAAATGGTGGCCATCTCAAAGGGCCCCACTTTTAGCAATGAACATGAAAATGTAAGGTAGCTGAAAAGGGTTTATTTTGAAGGTGTTTGAGATTAAAGGGGACAAAACTAAGTACTCCCTGAAAAACAATACAATTAAAAAACTTTAAGAAATGTATCCTCTATGAAAATTGTTGCATATCCTCTATCAAAGTATGGAAGGAAAATCACAAATGTTCCATACCCAGTCAATTTGTTTGAGGTTGAGTGGACTTAAGGGATGAAGAAATTATGCACTGAACAAAGATTTTAAACAGAAAGGCAATTTTTCACCTTAACCTAGAAAATTTGTTCAAGGTCACTGCACATCCACTGACACTCTGTGAGTTAAGTATAAGACACATAGGACAAACGCAAGAGAAGACATGCTATGGACAAGGATTTTTCATGTAATTCTGCTATAACCTTAACCTTTGACCTAGAAACATGGTTCAAGGTCATTGCACATCCTTTACCAAAAAGCATTCTGTGGGTGAAGTATGAGTCACATCTGACAAAGGGGAGAGAAGATACACTCTGAAAAAGGATTTTTCATGTAATTCTGCTATGACCTTGACTTTTGACCTAGAAACATGGTTCAAGGTCACTGCACACCCTTTACCCAAGGCACTCTGTCAGTGAAGTATGAGCCAGATTAGGCCAAGGAAAGAGAAAATATACTCTAAACAAGAATTTAAACAGAAAGGCAATTTTTTACCTTGACCTAGAAACTTTGCTTAAGGTCACTGCAAATTCATTGACCACTGGCACTCTGTGAGTGAAGTATGAGCCACAATGGACGAAGGGGAGAGAAGCTATGCTCCGAAGAAGGATTTTTCATATAATTCTGCTATGATCTTAACCTTTGACCTAGAAAGATGGTTACTGGTCACCCTTTACCCAAAGGCACTTTGTGGGTGAAGTATGAGAAAGATTGGGCCAAGGAGAGAGAAGATATGCTCAGGACAAAAGATCTCGGATGGACAGACGGACGGAAGGTCAGCCGCCTATAGGGGGCCCGCCAAGCGGGGCCCTAACAAAGTTTTCATGGCAGTGCTCCAAGTCGCACTTACTTTTGGGTCGCTAAATGGCGACCTAAAACTTTTTTTGGTCGCCATTTCAGAATTTCTGGATGCCATTAATAAATTTTTCACTCGCCATGATGAAAACATGTGAATAACACAATTAAAACAATGAACTAACATCCACATGTGTTATGTTTTTATTAAATCAAAGATTATTGATTACTGTGACTAGAAATCTTTTGCTAGTTGAAGGATATATTTTTATTAATTACAACCACCCCTTGTATGGTACACAGAAGAACACACTTAATCTGATCCTAGAATTAAAGTTTAATCAAAAGAAAATAAAACTTTGACAGTTGTTGAGACAGGACTTTGCCAATTGTTTATCATGTTTATCTGTTTACTTACTAATAAATATCTTACCCATAATACAGTCATTATCAATGCCGCAAAAACACTTAATTAATTGTGATATGCAAGCCATTGACCAAATACTTTAATAACCAGGTCAGAGAAACTCTAGAAAGTTTACGACGCTTGAATGCCATTCCATCCGAGACGTTATGTATATACGTTTCTGGTTCTATCAAACTTTACTATTACAGCATGCTGTCATTACATTACGTGATCCAATTCCATACGATGCTTTATAAAGTGTGTTAAAGTGTATATCTTCAAACATTGTCTTGATAGAGAATCTTGAAAACGTAAATCTCAATCCTGATCATAAATAGATGGACGTTGCCAGCCCAAATTTTCTCAGTCGCGAAAATGCGACTTAGTTTTAATTTCTAGTTGCAAAACCAATTCTTTGGTCACAAATGTGACCGTTTTAGTCACAACTTGGAGCACTGCATGGAAGTCTCAAAGGTCATAAAATAGATAGATATCATATTGATTGTCAAAGGATACGTGTAAAATAACTTCATTTTTAAAGCTCAATCAATCAACTGTTTATTTTACTGTTTAAAGACATTACCTGCAATAGCCAGCAGCATTTTCCTTCTTGCACCAAATGTTGTTATTCCTAGTTCTCTTAAATCAGTTTCTGTAAGTGTCAGAAATGTTGCCAAATCAATCTACAATGCAAAAGAATTTAAACAAAATATATTTTCAAATTGCTTTGGTCTGAGATATTACAACAAATGATAACAAAGGCCACTGCGCCACACTGCTCACTTGAGCACATAGGCTAGGTAAAAACACAAATCAGCTCAGTATTGAAAAGTTTACTGGGGGGGATGGGGGCTAATTTTTACACTACTGAAAAATGCTACCATCCCAGTATAGATTTGCTATTCTTGAAAAGAAGATTTTTAAAGATTTTTTTTTACAACATACTACTTTGTAAAAATGACCTCCCATATTGTGGCCCTCCCCACCCCCTCCCCTTGGGTCTTGATTTAAAACAAGAGGCCCATGGGCCACATTGCACAACTGAGCACTGAGGCTAGGAAAAAAGCAAAATCAATCCAGTTTTGAAAAGCTAAAATGCATGCAGTCCCAACCTACCCCTAAAAGGTATAAAGGGGGATGATTTGAATTAACTTGAATCTGCAAAGAATGCTTACATATTTCTTTGACTTACTGTGGCTTTTTTCCCTATTAGTTTGAACTTTCATTTCTGCCCCACTCTACCCCAGGGTTTAGGATTTGAAAAAACAATTGAATCAACACTACTTGAGGATGCTTCCTGATAAAAATGATCAATCATGTTCTTAAGAAAATTTTTAAAGATTTTTCCCATGTATTCCAATGTAAAACTTTGGAGGTCCATTGTGGCCCCACCCAACCTTATTATGATTTGAACAAACTTGAATTTACACTACCTGAGGATGCTTCCTGATAACAAGAGGCCCAGGAGCCACAGCCCTCACCTGAGCACATTGGCTAGGAAAAAGCACAAATCATATCAGAATTGAACCAGAAGTCTCTGTCGAGACTGTAGCTCTTCTGGTTTGTACTTATAACAAAGGATGAGAAAAGAAGTCATTGCCATCAGACAAAAACTGTAGAAGAAGTAGCGTTTTAAAGGAATTTCACAGACATTTCTATTTTTAGCAACAATAGCAACACTGTTCATCGAAATCAAAAACCCATGCACTATTTTATGTATCTTAGTGTAGTCTACTTGTTCGCAAGTTATATTGAAATCAGACCAAAATTGTAGAAGGAGTAGCATTTTAAAGTAATTTCACAAAAAATTCTATTTTTAGTAACCATGGCAACACCATTCATTGAAATCAAAAACCGAATTTTATGTATCTTAGTGTAGTCTACTTGTGTGCCAAGTTATATTGAAATCAGACCAAAACTGTAGGAGGAGTAGCATTTTGAAAAATTGTTTACAGACAGACGGACGGACGGTGGACACATTACTATCGCAGAAGCTCTTCTTACAATCTTTTAATAAGTGGAGATTATTATAGTTAATTAATATTTTCAAAGACTGTATTTTTACACAAATGAAGTTTAGAATATATTTTTTTAAAAATAGAGTTGTTAAATAAGGAAGTCAGGAGAAGATTTTTTTATTCCTAAAAATAAACTACAGGTTTATAAGACAAGAGGCCCATGGGCCACATCGCTCACCTGAGCACCAAGGGTAGGACTAGTATAAAATGGCTTTTTATTGTAAAGTTTAAATCCAAAAGTAGTCCCATGACCCATCATGGATTTGCTATTTTTTAGAAAATGATTGAGAAGAAGATTTTTAAAGAATTTTCCTATATATTTCTATGTAAAACTTTGGTCGGCCATTTTGGCCCCACCCTACCCCCAGGGGGTCATGATTTGAACAAAATTGAATCTACACTACCTGAACATGCTTCCATATAAATACGATGAATAATGGCTTTGTCATTCTTGAGAAGAAGATTTTTAAAGAATTTTCCTATATATCTCTATGTAAAACTTTGGTCGGCCATTTTGGCCCCGCCCTACCCCCGGGGGTCATGATTTGAACAAACTTGAATCTACACTACCTGAGCATACTTCCATATATATATGATGAATTATGGCTTTGTCATTCTTGAGAAGAAGATTTTTAAAGAATTTTCCTATATATTTCTATGTAAAACATTGGTCGGTTATTTTGGCCCCGCCCTACCCCGGGGGTCATGATTTGAATAAACTTGAATCTACACTACCTGAGCATGCTTCCATATAAATATGATGAATTATGGCTTTGTCATTCTTGAGAAGAAGATTTTTAAAGAATTTTCCTATATATTTCTATGTAAAACTTTGGTCGGCCATTTTGGCCCCGCCCTACCCCCAGGGGTCATGATTTGAACAAACTTGAATCTACACTACCTGAGCATGTTTCCATATAAATATGATGAATTATGGCTTTGTCATTCTTGAGAAGAAGATTTTTAAAGAATTTTCCTATATATTTCTATGTAAAACCTTGGTCGGCCATTTTGGCCCCGCCCTTACCCGTAGGGTCATGATTTGAACAAACTTGAATCTACACTACATGAGCATGCTCCCATATAAATATGATGAATTATGGCTTTGTCATTCTTGAGAAGAAGATTTTTAAAGAATTTTCCTATATATTTCTATGTAAAACTTTGGTCGGCCATTTTGGCCCCGCCCTACCCCCGGGGGTCATGATTTGAACAAAATTGAATCTTCACTACCTGAGGATGTTTCCCCATAAGTTTCATCTTTCCTGGCACAGTGGTTCTTGAGAAGAAGATTTTTAAAATATACCACTAAATTTTCATTAATTCCCAATTATCTCCCCTTGAATAAGGGTGTGGCCCTTCATTTGAACAAACTTGAATCCCCTTCACCCAAGGATACTTTGTGGCAAGTTTGGTTGAAACTGGCCCAGCGGTTCTTGAGAAGAAGTCGAAAATGTGAAAAGTTTACAGACAGACGGACAGACGGACAGACAGACAGACGGACAGACAGACAGACGGACGCCGGACAAATTGTGATCAGAAAAGCTCATTTGAGCCTTCGGCTCAGGTGAGCTAAAAAAAATATATACATGTAGGCCTATTTTATTATTTAATGTAAAATTATATAGGGTGAATTCACCATGCATCGGACACCCTTGTACTTCAACAAGTTCTAGCAATATCGCTACCAACAGAAAATTATCAAAATGGAGCTTAACATTTAATTTGTGATCAAAATATCAATTTAGGACACAGTTATATGCCCTTTATTAAGAAAATATCCTCAAAAATCGAGTTTTTAGGAATAACTGAGAATTCACCATGGATCGGACATTGTTTACCATGCATCGGACAGACAGTATTTAGACCGGAAAAATAGCATACCTTTATCACAGTGCTTTAAAATCCTTGATATGGATATATTTTCATCTTTTATCTAAGAAATAACCCTCAACTTAAATTTAATTGACGATATCGTTGCAAAAGTGTAGAACAATTCAAGAGACCTCACTCTGCCTTAGAAATGCTTTAAAATGCTTATAATGCGGTAATTTGCACCTTTTTCTCATGGTTAATCATACTCTAATTCCAGACGTCATATATCGATAACTTGTATTTTGACTGAAAATATAGAGTTTTTATTTTCTTTTTCCGCCAAAAACAGCTGTCAGCTGGGTTTTGTATGAAAATGGTAGTGCTTACCTTTGCATCGAAAAGTGTCCGATGCATAGTTAATTTGTGTCCGATGTATGGAGATATGAACATACTTGTGAAAACCAGCTCTAAAAACAATTATACGAATATTGAAGTGAAATTTCTTTAAAATTTATGTAAAATTACCAATCTTTGACTTTATTCACTGAAGTCTGACTCGTTCCGTTGAAGTCGAATTTTAAGAACGATAACTCTAATAATCGCAAAATCATAAATTTCTGTTTATTCCCCTTTGATGATGTAAAATATGACGTAACTTCAAGGCCATTCTTGGAATATTTTTATCACAACATGATAATAATAATCTGTATCATTAAAAAATTTAAATCTTCAGCTTCAAGACAGAAACAAATAAATACACGGGACTCCTAAGTTGAAAGAGAGTTTATTGTCTAAAGTTGTCCGAAGCAAGGTATGTGTCCGATGCATGGTGAATTCACCCTACTCCAAATATGCATTCGCACTATTTAAAAAAATCATTACCCCGTTACTTTAAAAGTTATATATCAAAAGCCTGAAAGGCTTCAACGGCGTCGAACAAGAAAAACAATTTCAAAAGATCAGCAGATAGGTCAGGTGAGTGACTCCGGTAACATAATAATAAAATTAAAAAATAGTCTTAACACAAATACAGTATAGGGCCTTATGTCCTGGTCCGAATGAGGCAGGGTTAGAATTGACCAAACATCGTCAGAAATGTTCATGCTCAATATCAATCTAATTTCTTTTCAGTAAATCGAAGACCTATGAAGGGTTTCATAAATTATTCTAATTAATTGCCATTGTCAGAGCGTTGTTCTGTTGTAAAGTGATTGTATCTAAACTACAATCATGACTGTACTGTTACAAGTACGATCGACTTACGAAAGGGCGCGGTAAACAAATGGAGGAAATGAATAAGTACAGTAATACTGGCATTACTGGTCAATATCATCGGTTGTTTTCGGATAAAATTGGATTGAAGATAGTAAAAGTAAAGCTAAGATTAAGAAATTCAATCGTTATAGTCTTGTTGTATTCGTGTTTATTTTGTAATCATTTTATCGTCTTTAAGATTGTTTACAGTAATCGTCCCAAAATGTAATTCATGTCATTCGATGCACCCTCTCTGTAGAAATTCATCCGCAACAACCATAACGTTTTTCTTGCGTAAAAATTAAACATAATATCGTTGTTTTGTAGCAGAATTAATTGAAGATACAATTGATTTAATTTTATATTCAAACTATTATTCATTGTGAACGTTTTAAAAGAAATTGGTTTACAGCTGTTGCTATTTTCTATTGCGGATGCATCCACTGACACATTTGTTCGCGTAAACCTGACTGATCGCTAGATGATGATCGAGCAAGCTCGACTCCATAATAAGATTTTTTAATTGAACAAGAGGCCCATGGGCCACATCGCTCACCTGAGCACTGTGGCTAGGAAAAAGTAGAAATTGGTTTATC